TGTTTGATGATCTGAAACATTTAAGTGTGACAAACATGCAAAAAAATTAATCAGGAAGGGGCAAACACTTTTTCACACAACTGTGTATATATATTATTCCAGCTTAAATATTTCTTTAAGCTTAACGCTTCCCTCTTTAATACCTCCATCCAGACGCTTTTATCCCGCCTTGTATAGTGACACCAGACTTCCTTCATGCCGCCATGCGTCCCGACATGATTACAGAGACAGAGGTGGAGATATCGACAGAGGAGTGCTGCGAGGAGGAAGATGAGGAGATGGTCACCCTGCTTGAAGAACCAGAGCCAGGCCACGAGCCTGTCAGGAAGAGGAGAGGTAGACAGAAAGATCTTTAAGTTCTTGTTAAAGATCCAACACAGAATACATCTATAAACTGAGGAAAGTGAACCCCCAGTAGTCCAAAGCTGTGGAAAATAGCATACAGATGTGTTAAAACTCTATTTCATGCAGTTGTAGACCCACTATCAGCACCATATTGCAGAGTGTGGAGAGTCAACATTTGTAAAAAGGCAAAGTTTTAAATCGAAAACATCTGGCGGCCCTGTGATTAACCTTGCCTCACGAGCCAGGCCTCAAACCACAATCCAGACTTCCACTGTTAATTACAGTTATTGAGTTTATCTAAAAGCACCATCTAGTGGTGGAGTTTTACTGTTGGGTCTAAACTCGAGCTCACAAAATGTAAGAATTCATCAATGAAAGAGAATGATGAAGTCCTATTTGAAATGTTTCCTTGATAAAGCTGGACGGAAGCCAAAGACGCATCAGTCATCTATTTCCAATGGCTCACTGGACCTCGGCATCAAGAAGAAACCAAGAGAAGGGAAAGGTACTGAGTAGTGCTAATATTACTGTCTATGCTAAACATTTATGTATTTATGTAGTGCAAAGCACCAGATGAATACAGGTTACTATTTATCAGTGCATTCAATTTGCTTGATTTCCAGCAGGGAGCACCACCTACCTTTGGGAGTTCCTATTGGATCTCCTCCAGGACAAAAACACTTGTCCCAGGTACATCAAGTGGACTCAGAGGGAGAAGGGCATCTTCAAACTGGTCGACTCGAAGGCCGTGTCAAAGCTGTGGGGGAAACACAAGAACAAACCTGACATGAACTATGAGACCATGGGACGGGCACTCAGGTGAGCAGTGTGTGTCTGGGCGTTTTTTGGGAGGGGGGGATTTCGGATTGTGTTTTCATAATTGTGTATTTGGAAAGCAGTATTGTAATTCCTGATTATCGTTTTTCCCTTTAGATATTACTACCAGCGCGGCATCCTCGCCAAGGTAGAGGGCCAGCGGCTGGTCTACCAGTTCAAAGACATGCCCAAAAACATAGTCATCATCGACGACGACAAGGCAGACATGCCCTCCCCCAACGATCTGATCGGCTCAGAGGCCGTATCCTACCAGCGCGTGCCACCTCCGTCAGACATGCTGCTGCAGGCCACCGAGCTGTCGTCGTCCAAGAAGCCCAACATCTTGCGGGGCGGGAACAGGGCTAACGTGGTCCATGCTACCGTCGCCACAGGCAGCAAAGTGGTGGCAGGAGGTGGTGTGGCGATGGTCACCGGGATGCCAAGGATAATGTCTGTTTCAGGAGCATTGGATGGGAGTCAGCAGTCTCATACGGCTATCATCCCAACTGCCACTGGGCCCAGGTTAGACCCCTGCAGTGAGATGAGGACCTCCAGTTAAAGGGTTTCTCATATTAGCAGTACTAATGCAAGTGGCTACATCTTTTCCCACCAGCAAGTATTGACTTTGACTCTGTTTGCTTTCTTACCTCTCGTCCACAGGACGGTGCGTTTGGCAATGCAGGTGCCTGTGGTGATGACGACAACATCACTGGGTCAGAAGATCTCCACAGGGGCAGCCGGCCACACCACTCTCCTCACCAACACTTCTGCCATTGGTGCTGCTGGTAACAACAACTCTCAACAGAAGGTGTGTGTGTGTGGAAACTCATTCAAGTACAAGTACTTGCACTTGCTGTGATACAAGTACAAGTATCACAGCATAGTATCTGTTCTACTATGAACTATGGCAGCTGAGAAGCTGCAACTGTCAATTTTAGCAAAACCTTAATGGAACCTTTTGAATTAATCATTTCTAATTCATCCATCTTTTCATTTTCTGCTGCTTATCCAGGTCCTTGTTGCTTCAGTTACATTATTAGGAATTATTGTTATATACTGCTCAGAAATGCTGAAAAATACTTTCATAATTGTCAAACTGGTAATAAACTGCGTTCTGTACAGGCTTATAGATCAATCAAGGAAATTGTTAACATGTAACATTTTTTGTTTTTAAATTTTGGGTAGGTTGTGATCCAGACCATCCCCACCATGGTCCCAGCCACAGCAGAGAACGGAGACAAGATCACTGTCCAACTGGCAAAGATCATCACAATCCCAGCCCACCAGTTAGCTCAGTGTCACCTCCAAACGTCCACAGGCTCAAATAAGCCCAGCATCGGGGGCTCCGCGGCAGGTATCAGCCTCCTCAGGAGCCCCCTGACGGTCCGGGCTCTGGCCCCTGTCAGCGTCGCCCCCGGAACGCAAGTGATGAGACTCACTGTGCCGACGCAGACGCAACCACAGACTCTGGTGGTTTCACAGCCGGGTAGCGGGGCGGGGGTAGTAACCGTATCAACAGCCAATCGGACGGTGACGGCACACCCTCGGATCATAAGCGGCATCATTAATGGTTCAGAGCTGATGATAGGAGCACCGGTAACCGGAGGAGTCACACAATGGAAAAGTTGAAGGCAACAGGAGTCCAGGTCCAAACTGTGCAGGTGGCAGTCCAGCAGAACCCCAAAACGGTCCAGAACGTCCAATCAGAGGCCGTGGATGCTGAGGTGGTTATCAAACTGGAAACACCTGACGTGACGATAAAGACTGAAGAGCCGGAGTGTTGAAATGTACACATTTTAGAGTGGTAGTTTGTATATGTCTGACGCCATTTTACTCTTGTAATAACCAGCAGCAGTCTGTGAGACTTTAAAAGACTCCTGAAGGCCTGTTTTTAGTCCTGAACTTGTTTTCACATCTTCTTTGTTGCTACTTAGAACTTAACTGATCCAAGCCGGTCCTCAGAACCACACTGAAACCTCAGTGTCGTGTATGGAGTTCACAGGAATACACACAGACTTTAAAGGGACTGTGAAAGGTAAAGGGACCAACCTCGATCACTACAATTTATGATTTCTAAATGGATCGCCATCACAGACTCAAATTCGGGGGGAAAGGAAAAAACCTTAAATACAAAAAGAAGCTGAAACACTACAAAATGAGGCAAATAATGACAACCAACCAAAATAAAAAAGGAAATACACAATGGGGGTGTAATTAAACCATTCGTTTATAAGTTTGCCTCTTCAGATGTTTAAACCAGCAACTTATCCTTTTTTTTTTTTTTTTTTAATATATATATTTTATACTTGTATCACTGTGCAGATCAAGTGTGGGTGGTGCTATGAGAGTGCTTAGAGTAAGAGAGAGACAGAGAAAGTGGAGCTGCGAGAAGCTCAAAGAAGGAACGACATCAGAAAGAAAATGGTTATGTATGTGTGTGTGTGTGTGTGTGTGTGTATTTTTTTACAGTTTACGGAGCTAAAGTTAACAGCCTTAGATTTCAATTTTGACTTTCTTTTTCATGTATTGTCTGAACAGAATACTGAAATTTTTTTTTGTGTTTTGATACCTTGTACCAAGCACAGTATTATTGAAACTAGTTGAACTAATGTTTGTATTATTAATTTCACTGTCACTATCAGGCTGTTAAACTCTCATATAGATTGAAACAGCAAAATGTTATAGATCAGTGGCCAGATTGTTTTGCAGTGTCTCTTCCAGTGTCTGGAAAAATCTCACGGCATGGATTTCAGACTTATTTGACTAAAGGATTTTGGCTATTTCTCCATTCTTTTTAATTTTTTATGTTTGCTCTTTTCACAATTTTACACATACTGGCTGCACAGAAATGCAAAGTAATGCGACTCAGAGCAGGTGCTTGCTGCCATGTCTTCAAAAACTAATACAAATGGGAATGTATGTAAACTTATCAATACTTAATTGAATCAATTATTTTAATTATTAAGAGAAGCAAGTTTATGCAAAAATGCTGCAAAAAATATAAATCCACTGTGGATCCCAGGTCACTTTACTAAAAACAGAGGGCCAATTAGCCAGCATACATTTTTTTTTATTTATTTTTTTTACTGCCTTTTTGGCCCTGACATGACATTTCATTATTTTTTTTATCGAAAGAGGGAAGAGAGGAAGATGTTTTGTGTTCAGACCGGACTGTTTCTATATTCAACATTTGAAGTATATTCTATTTTGTTGTACTCTTGTTTCAAAGTGTATTAAAGTAGATTTTACTGAAATATAAAAAGACATTTCAATCCTGACGGTTGTCTTTTTCATCGTGGGTTTTATGGATTTATTCTTAAAGTATTTAAATTGATGTGTGAAGTTGCAGAAATTTGATTTGGGGGTGGGGGTTATTACAGGCACAAATCCTCAACGGTCTTACATTTTTTAGATGTCATAAATATACTAGGAGTTATTTATGACATTTTATATACTATATCAATTTTAATAGTACTTCCCTGTGTTTCTCCAGTTGCTCCTGCATTTTCTAGATTACGGAGACGCAAAAAAACCCTGTTACACACTGTTTTTCAGGTTCACCTCTCGTAACATTGTCGTCTCCATTCAGTCTGCTGTTCCTCCAACATCTGTAAGAACCAACAAGAAGACAAATGAGCTCCTTAAATGTCCTGTAATTTCAGCTTCTTAAATTCTTGCTATCTGATATTTTCAGAAAGTGTAAATCACACTGAATATATTTTCTGACCATATTGTATAATTTCATGAATTTTCAACAAACAAAGCTCAAGAGTGCACAGAATATAAAATATGTTGTGTGCTCTCAATATTTAACAGCATTAAAAATAAATACAGCTGGTAATGAGAAAAAATTTCCCATGAGCATAAGAAATGTGATGCGGACGTCCCAGATCTCAAACTCAAGGAGGACAAAATAGTATTATTTCACTTATTAGTGGCTCGCGTCCTCCAATCAAACAAGTGACATGCTAGAATCTTGCTCCCCTATCACATTTTAATGCTCATTGGATTTTGGCTCTAACACTCGATCTTGACGCCCATTGTTGCAGCACAATCTCTTTTACCAGATAAAAAATATCCTACCTCAGACCTTCAGCACAGAGATTATGTCTCAGTTGTTCTGAATAATGTTCCTCTTCCTTTCAGATGTCATCCATTGAGGCTGCATTTGTGTGACAAATAACTGTACCTAGATTCTGTTCTCCAGTACGGTAATGCGGTAAAGTTGGCATTGCATAATGATCATGAATAAAATGACAAAGAAAAGCAGGATTTGGACAAACCGTAAGACTATTCCATAGTTCCCATGGACAGTGTAAACACCTGGAACTGTCAATACAATAAAACAAGTTACTTTGTTCTTTTGCGAACTTAAAAACAACTTTGACATTGGCACACATTCAAACTTCTCCAATAATTTACACACATCTGGCACAATTTATAATTTAATATAATTTGCCTCTTCCAACATGGCATGCTGTCGGTAATATGGTGCAGAATTATTCCAGTAATCACAATGCTATTAATGATATGGGTTACAGGCCAAGCATGGGTTAATTAGCCACTGCAGACACTACCAATATATATCCACAATTTTTATAATTACTCGTGAACTGATATGTCATTACTAACATTCTACCACCAACTAATATTAGTTAATTGTTCTTACAAGAACAAAGTTAGTTTTTAAGCAGCTAGTAGTAATCTAAAGAAATTACATTAAAACTGCACCAAAACTAATAAAACTGCTGTAGAACATGTTAGAAATGCTGGATTCTTTGTTAATTCGCCCCAAACAGCCAGGTTAGCAAATTAGCTGTAAACTAGCTAGCAAGGGACCCTTTGGGATAGCATCAAGTAACTAATTAAAACCAAACTTATCAGAAAAATGTACATTTGAACATACATCTGTGTGATAACTACCTAAAATGACATGATAAAAATGTATTTGACATGTACTTTGATTTTGTTGGTGATGCCCATGTTCCTATCGCTAACAGTATATAACCTATACTGCAGCCAGCCGCCAGGGGGATGGATATGTTTCGAGTGGCAGCAGGGTTGCCAGGTCTGTGTGACAAAAGTACCAAATACCAGAACTCATATGCCCCTGCAAAACTATATACACTGGTCCAATAGCTTTGCTATCATTGCAAATTGTATAGTAATATTTACAAAGTAACTCTTTAAGCAGTTTTCCCTTAACTTCCCTAAATGTATCAGAAAGGCATTGAAAGCAGACTGTTCTGTGGTTATTTTGCACGTCCTTCATTTTACACAATGTATTGTTTCCTGGAAAAGGTAGACAAAGATGAATCAATGTGTGCTGTAGAAAAGAAGCTCACGAATACAGATGATGAAATAAAGTTATTTTAAAATGGTGCTAATTGCACAATACTGAAGAAATATAGTCTTTGGTATTTGATATCAGAAATGTTTTCAAAAGGCATGACGTTTATAGTTCGATTTTTACTAATTAGGCATTTAGAAGACCTTGTTATCCAGTATAAATGGACTAAGTAATCTGTAAAGGGTCAGTTAACCCAAATTATAAAAAATATTTCCTTGGTGAATGGATTTAGTTTGTGTTACTCAAAAAAAGAATTTAACAGCAAGGTGACTTCAAACCAGGGACAAACCACAGATCCACTTTCAGCAGTTTTAATGGAGGCTACTTCTTCTGTAGAAAGTGGTTCAATGTTCACTGTGAGGTCTGTTAATTTTTCTGAGTTCTGAGGACATTGTTTTTTCATTCATTAACAGGGTGCAGGGTGGTTATTTGGGTAAACGATCCTTTGATTCCCAAACCACCAAGTAATTAGCAAACCAACAACAGGGTAGTCAGAGAGAGTAAATAATAATTCTACATAACACTGTACTGAAAAAGCAACAGTCATTGAATGTAAACCATACATGTTCAGCAAAAACCCTTTATTCTCAGTCACTCTTCAAACAATGGCAGTTTGAAGCAAAATATTTACTACAGTTTCAAGATTGGGTTTGGAGACATACGTATACAGTATATGGTTTCCTATCCCATCCATTATTTTCACTGTGCACCCGCACAGTGAAAATAATGGATGTTGTTGTTGCAGCATGTATCGCCGTGACTTCTTAGTCATAAATTACCTGACTGTTCCATCCAGTCAAAAATAACCAACTCTGGTTTCTCTGTAACCTGGCGTCATTCTGCGCCTGTCACTCCCAAATAGCGTCTCATATGCCCGCTTTCTTGTTGAGCGAAGCCAACCAGTAGCCAATCTCGACTGTGTCTCTTCTCAGTGTCGTCCCTTCCTGTGTGCCGGTTCATAATTTCCTTCTTCACTCCTTCTCCATAAAGCTGAAGTCACAAACCAGAGACAGATGGTCTGATGGATAGCTAAAAGATGGAAGCCTGTTTGGCCCAATCTGTTCCTCAGTGGGCATGTCCAAAACTGTGTCCACTCTCAGTGTGTCCTGACTGTACCAGATGTAGTCCAGAGTGGTACAGCATTCCCCCGTAGGCCGAATCTTCCACGTCGTGTACTGTGGCTCAGTCAAACCATCTTGACTGAGTTTCTTATACGCCGAGTCCAAACAGAGAGGCGACGTGATGAAACGTTGGTACACCTCCTCAGTCGGGACTGCGTTGAAATCTCCACATATGAACAGAGGAATGTCTGAGCTGGGGGCACCCGCAGGATCGCCAGAAGCATGCTTCTGGACCAGATTCTGGAAGTGTCGCAGGAGGTCGGAGCCCTGGGCGCTGCGGAGCCACTCCCAGCCAGAGCGAGCCTTCAGATGGGTCACGGCCACACACACACATCTCCCTGTGCTCCGACAACGCAGCATCGTTACCACAGCGACCTGTGGCAAGACAGCAGCGTGTTAGAGTGACTTTTTTAATACGTCCAAGATTGGCTTTACACAAATTCCACTTACCTGATTGGTTGGAATCCGCATGGCAGAGAGCCTTAGGTTCACGCTATCTAGGAACTCGTATCGCGACTGATCGAAGAACAGAGCGCAGCCGTCGGGACCATTGTTGCCCTCCACAGCCAGGCATGGCGACCAGGGTTTAGGGCAAAAGCTGCCGCTGTAACCGAGGCCTGCCATAACCGGCTGGAGAGTGTCATAGTAGTGGTCGACTTCCTGCAGACACAGGATATGAGGTCTGTAGGTGAGGATCTCCTCTAAGATGAGGTACTTCCTGCGGGACCAGCTGAGGGCCTCCGGGGGACACTGGACAAAACTGTCAAGTCCCTCGCCCAGAGCTGAAGGATAGGAGAAAGAGGGAGATCTGACTTCAGTATAGAGTTCACCTGGAGGAGCTAAACAATGTTCCATAGTTTATGCAAGGTGAATTGAAACAGTACTTTGATTCACTCTTCAAACTTTTTTAAAATATCTGTTTTTGAAGCTAATGTGACCTTAGATATATCAGTCCAGAAGCCAGTGTGATGTGATATTAGACGTGCTAAAGCAATCTACCTTGGGCCAGTATGTTCCACTGCATCACCCTGACGGAGCTGCCGGGGACGCCGTCTCCATCATTGAGGTGAGTGAACTTCCTGTGGAGGAGAGGTGGTCGGTCCCCGAGGGCCTCTTCACACTGTCGGAGCAGCTCCATTGGATTGGGCGGACATACAGGGGATGCCTTCTGCCCCTGCAAAACACATGACACTTCAACATTTATGTCACCTGATGAGGCAGATTACTTCACATATCTGTTGCTGCATCAGTTTCTGAAATCTGCTCGGTAAACAGAAGAGAAGGAGTCACCTGGCAGACAGCTGGATCCAGGTTTGTGTCTGCAGGCGTGTGGGACAGCGGTAGGGGGAGAGGAGAGCTGCTGCTGGTCTGAGTCAGGGTGCTGTACAGCCTGGTGGCCCCTCCACCCATCGGACACACTGATTGGGGAAAAAAAAAAAGATGATGATGAGGTGTGTGTGTAAAGATCGAGAATAATAAAACATTCCGAATATTTGTAATTCTAATGCCAAATCTGTGTAGCAGTAACTGGAGCAGCATCGGAAATACACGAGGGCGAAGGGCAAAACTGCCCCTAAGAAATATAATTTTGCCCCCGATATCACTAGGAGAGGGGTAAAAAATGCCCTCATAATTTCCTCTAATAATAATGATAATTTAATGAACTTGTCAAAAACATCGTAGCCTATATGACCCGGTCCAGTTGCCATAGAATGGTTTTGATTTTCGCCTTGACTCGTGTTGCGTGTGCGTGAAGAACCGAATGGAGCGCTTCTTAATCAGACCTATGACTGCGAGACTGTGGTCAACTCAGCAGACACTTAAATGTTAGTGCACCTATATGCTGAAATTCACGGTAAACGCATTCAAACGGCACAGATCGGGAGTTGGCAGAAAAGATTAACGCGAGACAACATCCGGTTTCTTCAGACAAACATCCGGTTTTCAGAATAAGATGCCAACAAAGTATACATATTGCATAATGGAAATTAGATTAAATTAATTATATTCACATTCAGTATAAAACATGCTACCTGCATCTCGTGAGTTAAAGGGAAAATACACCTAAATTGTGCACAAAGTGTCTTTATTCTTTGATTTGAGGGTTGGAAATTAATAATACCTGACTGACAGTCAATTAAGATATTTTACTAAGCAAAAACTCTGAACTGAATTTGTACCTTCGAATGGCACATTTTGTTAATATTTGAGGTGCTACAAAAATATGTTTCTCAATAATTCCATACAATGACTTATGTAATCAAGGCATCGTTGACTTAATAATTGTTAATAGTTGTTTAAAAAAATGTAATAATAACAACAAATAACCACAAAGAAATAAGAATAAAATTGAATATGATTGTCTGATTTATGTTTGTTTTTTGTTCAAAAAATCTAAGAAAACACTTTGAATCTGTAGACTACTGCCTAATAGTCTTATTATTGCCATTTGATGACAATTGCTCATATACTGTAATGAACATCGGCAAATCGCCCCAAACGCGTGAGTTGAAGTTTTTCAACTTCGGCGAAATATTCGCGTTACGCCCCGGCGCGATAGCCTATCAGCGTTGAGTTGCTTCCCCTGTCATCACTGACTTCCTGCCGTTGTTGAATCAAGAAATAAATATTGTAGCCGTCTGTGTTCACCCAGAGCTCTACGATACCTCATATCAATAGAGACCGGACCAAACTATGTCTATAAATGTGTGTGTGTGTAAACCATATGGTACAAACAATGAATAGACGCTGCCGTATTTACGTTTACATGACGTTAGTCTTTTGTGTTGGTGGAGCTGCTACAGTGTTAGCATAGCCTAGCACCGATCCATCAGAGCTCCATTGAGAAGACAAGTAGCCTACAAATCGGCATCATTACGTAGTTATTTCGGAGTCCCTTTTTTCGGTTTATTGCTGTTAAATCACAGCCAAATCAGTTTATTTTGTGTTCCTACAGCTGTAGTAAACAGCGACGTGTGGCTTGCTAGACACAGTGAATACACCTCGATAAAATCCACGGAGCTCCTCTGAACAATATTATGAACCCAGACATGACGGCGTTTAGTTTCCCGGGATATCTGTGACTTCCACAACACGTACTAAGCAGAAATAGAGGTTATTTTTTCCATGGTTAATGGACAGTTGAACGGCTTTCAGGGCGATAAGCCCCGCCCCCTCTCCGGCGCGATTCGCGCGAATGTACACAAATGGTCTCCGGCGAGACCTGGGCGCGATTGACGCGAATATACAAGTTTCAAAAAGTGCCCCCAATTTTTTGGAAATGCCCCTGGATTTCAGTCAGTGGGGGCAAAAATTGCCCCCAAAAAAATATGTAAATTTCCTACCCTGAACTGGAGGTGAGGGATTTTTTAAATTTCAGACACATCTGTAAATTATCAGGATCAAACCAAAGTGGGTCAAATTGACTCGTAGTTTGTCAAGAGGCATCAGGCTTGTACACGTCCAAGTGTTGCAGACAAGTGAGTAATATTCAAAATACGTAAGCTTAACTGAAGTTTCATTTAAACTAAATATTATGAACAGCATTAGGTGTCCAACATCACAAAAAAACAAATTTGTATAAAGGTTTGTGCTTTCATTTTCTAAAAGCAGATGTATTTCAGCCAATTAACTCCCAGCCAGAGTCCTAACTGGTTTGCATAAACACTAAATGCAGATAAATGCACACTTTTCTGTAATGGTAAGGCAACATTTTGTGTTCTGCAAATCTGAGGGGGGAAAAAAGGAGAAAATGGATAAAACCAAGACCATTGCTCTGTCAAACAAATGCTGGTGACTTTCTTCCTGTCTCCTCTAGACCAGAACTATACGACTATAAAAGGAGAGATCAGATACTGATGTTTAAGATCTATCCACTTATGTGTGAGTGTTACGAGCTGGCACTCCTTCCCACATAGAAAACAAACCCTGGTGCATTTAGAGACCTTTGAACTCTTTCTCACAATAATGTTAATAATTATGCGAGTCCCTGTTTATATCCATAACAGCACCAGCCAGACTGAATATGGTGATTAAATCCACACTCTCTGCTCCACAGCACCACTAGATACACAGAACCTCACTCCCCTCAGGTTTTTAATTTTGTACATTCGAAATGACAGTCATGTATGAACATCAGATATTATACATTCAAAAAAATCTCCTTATCCACAGTAAAATAGAGAATATCTGCCTCTTACCCATAGTCTCCATCACTGTCCACAGCTATGTCCACTCTGCACTTGAGTAAATTGTCCTTAACGCCTCCTTTTAACACTCCCGTCACCCTAACAGATGCTGTATGTTACTGTCAGCGGATTTAAACTTGTGTTTTCACTGCAACAGGAGACAGTGACAAAGACTATTTGTCAATGTGAATGCAGAAATGTGATGTCTAGCTTCCCACTCCCACCTATAAAGCCTCGGGGAGGGAGAGAGAGATTAGGAAGTATAGACGTCACCAGGCCAGATAGATTATTACAGGTCATGTGCTGGTGAGGGAGAGAGGGATGCGCTGCGCAACCCAAACCGCTGCTCTCTCACACCGTCCCACACACACAAGCTTGAGTGTGTGGCAGATATATTACTGATACATAAATTGTACTTTCAAAAGGCATAAAACCACAGTAACATGGAGTCACACCCTCACAAATACCCACACATAGAAGTCATCGTCCAAATAGAGAATAGGTACATTTCAATGGTTGACAGTTCTCAGATAAACAAGACTGAAGGAAGGTGCTGAGAGTGTGTGCGTTTTGCAATAACAACTTCCTCAGTTTGCATGTTGTAACCAGGACACTTAGATCACAATTTACCATCACCAATGTTACATCAGTTATCTTCCATTTACAGTACTTTGTACTTTTCCAAACTGATAGAGATAAAATTTAATATAATTTTTTGGCTGGAATCAAAATTGAGACGGTATAACTACAGCACGAACCTCCCCCACCTGTAAGGGGTCACAACATCAATGTGAGGGGTCATGAGATTTAAGAAAACACATTTCTGCAACACATAATTATACCTTTTTCGGGTTTTGCTCATCTTTTTTTGTAAATCCTCACTATAAAGAAAGGAAACTGTCTGTCCATGTGTTCTTCACATATCTCGCAAACACATTTCCAAACGGTCGTTATGTGGATTAACTGACCACACATAAGGTATCTAAACGTCAACGTTAACTATTAATGGTGAAACTATTAAAGATAATCAAAGTAAAAGTCCTGCATTCAAATTTTTGCTTCAGTGAAGAGTGAAAGAGTTATATACTGTATGGGTGGAGCTTTGCTGGACAGTTTGAAGACTAATAATGCATCATATTAATATATATATATATATATTAATATTAATATCATTAATATATATATATATATATATATATATATATTACCATATATTGTGAGTAAAATCTGAATCTGCAACATTTCTTTGTCAGGTAAATGTAGTACTACAATGTAGTATACAGTTGAGCTGCATATTGTTAAGTGCTTTTGGTGCATTTTGTTATTTTGGGGTACATTGAGTTAGAATAGTAACATAATTCAATATTTTTTATATATAACGCAATGACTCTCTGTGCGTAGCTCGAGAATCATTCATTCATTCAATCTGAGCAAGTCATATTATTCCTCTCGATCTGGATTCCTTAATCCAAAAGAAGGAGCAAATGTTTTCCTTTTTCCACTGTGTTGCTTTGACGTCAGTGTGTCACACACAGACCAGCAGACCATGATAAAGAACTAAAAGCTCTGTTGACTTGTGAGTGGTGACTCACGTCTGCAGACGCAAGTCTGAGTGTTGGGTCTCTACACACAAGTCACGACACAATCATGATCAGTGCCGACAGCTATGATCATGATTGATCATAGCTGTCGGTATGATCAATCATACCGTGAGACTGACAAACATGATTTCTTCAGGAAAAATGTTTTTAAGCAGCAGGAAAAAAAAAAATCGGCTTCCACAAGCAACTGATGTCCAAACAGGGTGAATGTGCATTACCTGAAATGTGCATTACCTGTGTGTGTATGTGTGTGTGTGTGTGTGTGTGTGTGTGTGTGTGTGTGTGTGTGTGTGTGTGTGCAGTGAGGGTAGTGTGGACTCATATCTGGGGCCTCACTTTTGTATCTGTTTTATGCTTCTTGGATAATAAATCCATTTGATTTTGACTTAAACCTGCTGTTGTGTTTTGGAGGCGATTGAGAGCACGTGGCTGCAGGAAGGGGGGGCGATTTCTCCGTGTGTTCAAAAGTTGTGGACCTAACACACACATCGCTCAGGAAATGAACTACTCTGAAGATAACTGTCTAAGCCTCAGGCTCACAAGAGACCAATAGTCCACACAGTTGGTCCGTAGTATGGCTAAATGTTCAAAATATAAATCTATATATATTAATTACTTTAGTAGAGTGCTTAAAGACGCTTATACACGTCTTGGCATCTGTATCGGCACGTATCAGCTATCTCTTACTATCTCTCTTCTTATTCCTATTTATTTAGTCTTTCTTTAAGCATGTTTTATTCTACTCTGTCAGTCATAATCAGTTATTTTATTTGGGCTCTGCATCTTCTATAGTAGGCCTATAATACTCCAATAATATTCTAACTGAAACATTATAGGGCAAAGGTTGTGTGTTTGTGTGCCTTCAGCTTGGAATCATCAACAGCCAGATAGGTATGCATATAGAGCAGAGGCCTGTGAGTGCTTCATTCAGGGTTTAGGAGCAGTGTCCCAGTCAAGATGCTCGTACACATCATGCAGTAGGATAAAGTGAGACATTGTGAAATTCGACAGTGAATAAAAGATACTAGAGATATTTGATGTTTTAGGGTCCTCCCTTGAGAAAATTTGAAGTGGAAACCATAAAGAAAGTGCCCACATGAGACAGCAACACACCAAACGTACAAATGTGTTTGTGGTACAGACATCTCCGTGTTAGGGCATCTATCACATGCAAACACAATACTGATATTGTGGAGCAGTCACAGACAGACACAGCCTGACAGAGAGAACGTACTTTAGATAATTAAAAACTCTTCCAAATAGATTATAGAATACAATCTGACCATACCGTAAAGATACAGAGACTGTGGCTGCCAGATCACACAGCACAAAAGGAGTTCAGAGCAAAGTTTACTTCTTATTTATCTGACAACTTACCTTCGTTACTGGAATTAACTGCTCACTTCCTTCAGCTGTACTCGTGCAGCTGCCGTCGTGTTTTTCGGCGATCCTTCTCTGCCTCTGTGTGGTCCCAATAGCGTGTGACACGGGCGGTGGGAATGTTTCTCTGTGTGCATGCGTTCAGTGGGTGGTTGATTGACCCTCTAGCTGCAGGGCAAGGTCACACTCGGGAGAAACATGGCCTCTTCTGCCATCTGCTGGTACACAGGGACCACGGGTCACACTTCATACAGTCTGAAGAGGAAGAACAGACGACGGTCAATTATATTTACACATTAGGGAATTATAATGGCAGCAGATGGATGTAACAGGCAACAGGTAAAAAAAAGCGACGCCACACTTTGAATTTTACTAGTGACTGTTCTTCAAACAATCAGTTTCTTTTTTTATTTTAGCATGGTCATTTGGTTTGCTACACTAACACTTAAAGCATTTATCAAAAAACAAATGTATTATAAATAACAAAAAGCAGGAGGAAAAACGCAGTGGGTGACAGCTGGCTCTCACAGTTATTGTGCATTATTGTGCATTCTCAAACAACCAATTGGTAAATAAATATACATGAAATAATAACAGGCCATATTTCCTTTGACTATTTGAGCATCACAATGACAAAAACATTTAAACTTGTGATTTAATTTACAGATTTGGGAGAAATGGTGATGCCTTAATAAAAGGAAACAGACTAGAAGAGAGAAGTTAGTTGTTGTTTCTTAATTTCAGTGCAAGGAAGAACAAAATGATGGTGTATATGACAGAGACTCAGAGAGAATAATAATAATAATGACAACAAAGTGGAGAAAGCACCCAATAGTTTGGATTTACTTGGTGAAGTCAAAGTACAAGTGGAGTCACATCATTAACGAATGTGTCTCACATTCAGATGAGTCATCTGCTGCTCTCACTTACACATACATTTTAAAGCTCTATATATTACCTTTGTTGTTGCTTTAGTTAGCTTGTATAACGTAACAACTTGACTTCATTATTATTTCATTAGCAACACCGTGTGCATAACAAAAAGAAGGAAAAGTACTACATTTGTGACCTGTTATAGGAATCTGTGAACAAGTAGAGATAGCGCACATCTCAAACACAGAACAAATACAAAGTGCTTTACGTTGGCTCTATTTTAGCTCAAAAATTGCAGTGTTTCCAAAGCAGACATTTAGATTTGTCGTTGCGGGAAAAGCAGCACAAGAAGAACTAATAACATTAACAATAGCTGTTTCAGCAATTAAGGCAATACAGAAATTAATCAAGTTATAAGTGACATATGTTTGACAAATTAAAATGTTGTGATGAATGTCTTCACTACTCAAAGTAATACAGCATCTACTACACACTATTAATCCAATCATGTCAACATGAAGAGAAATGAAAGGAGTGAAGAATATGTCCCAGTTTTGTTGTTTTCATCTTCTGTTGCTGTGAGCTTTATTACATTTTTTTGATTACAAATTAATATCAACTTTGTATTTTATGTATTAAATTCTATCCACAGTTTATATGAATTCATATATACACTACAGGTCATCTGAAGTCTGCTGTTCCAGAATTGATTTATCCCCCAGTCGTTTGCTGAAGTCTAACATTTGGTGGTGTAGAAGTGTGCCGACGTCCCCCAGCTGTTGACTCCTGGTCTTCAGGTGGCTCAACATGGCACTCATCGACACCAACAGCACACCGTCACTATTCTGACTGTCCCGAGTTATCGACGAATCCTCTTTCCACGCATCCTGTAAGCTCTCAAACAAGGTATTTATGTCCCGGTTGAACTGGTGAACCTCCTGCCAGTACCGTTCTTTGTCCTCTCTGGCTCCGTCCATATCCTCCGTCATCTGTCTGATGGAGAGATGCAGCCTGCTGTTCTCCACGCGGACCTGCTCCAGTGATATGCTATTGTTATAGATGCCGATCTCTACAGCTCTCAGCTCTGAGGCCTGTTTATCGAGCACGTCCGTGTAACTTTCTCGCAGCTCCTCCAGCTCGGTCTTCATTTCCTGTTTGGGCTGAAGCAGAGCGCCTGTTTCCTCCTTCAGCCCCTGGATCAACAGCTCCAGATCGCTTCTCTTCCCCCTGAGCTCGGAGGTCAGCGTATTCAGTCTCTGATGCCTGGATTGCTCTTCATTCCACTTTGCAACCTCCTCCTTCAGCATCTCATCTTGCTCCTCCACCTCCCTCTGCTTCTCCTTGCTGCTCCTCGTGATGCTCATGGACTCTGCAGTGCACCGCTCTATTTCCTCAAGGTGTTTGGTCTCTATTTGTCTGTACTCCACCTCACACTGGGTCACATGTCTCATCAGCAAGTCAGCATTTGAGCTCTTGGGCTGACGCTTTTGGAGTGCGGCCTCCTCTCGTCGAAGCTCCTGGTATCTCCTCCTGGTGTCGCCGATATCCGAGGTCATCTTCGCTACTTGCTCCTCCTGCTTCCTCTTCGCCTCCTCCAAAAGCCCCCCTAGCCGCTTCTTCTCCTCCTCCAAATGACTGATGTTCTTCTTCTCTGTCTCGACGTTATCGCACAAATCCCTCCGATTCCCCTCAAACACACGCTTGGTGATTACTTCAGTCTCCAGGAGGTCTCTGATCTGCTTGTCCATCTCTTTGATCTCCTTGCTGTGTTTGACTATAGAGGCAATGCGCTCCTCCAGCTGCAGCTTGGATCGCTCGAGCTGCTGCGAGACATGGACATACTCTTCCCTCACTTCGTTCTCTTCATCACACTGATGCTTGAATACCTCATATAGTTTAGCCAGGGAGTCTTGAAAGAGCAATGTTGATGCTTGAACCTTCTCTATTTTATCTTCCACTGCGGCGATTTCTTCTTTAAGACGCTGGACAGCAACACAGAATACTTCCCCTAACTCACGCAACTCCTTCTTCAGCGTTTCTCTCTGTTGCCTCAATTCTGAATGCTTTTGAGTTTGCCCCTGCAGCTGCTGCTCGCTCTGGCACCGAGAGGCTGCCAGTCTTCGTAAATTACTCTCCAGCTTGGCCATGTCAATCATGAGCTCCCCCAGATGTTTATGGGTTTCTCGTTTCTTGTCATTAAGTCTGTCCAATTCTCCTCTGCTCCTCCTGATGGATTGCTCCTGCTGCTTCACTTTACCCTCAGCCTGGTGCAGCTCTCTGAACAGGTTGTCTTTGTTCACTGTGAGAGCCTCTCTCTCCAGCACCATCTTTTGCTGAAGTGTTACTGTGTCCCGTTCGACAGCAGCGATGCAGGACTTCAGCTCGTCTATCCGGTCCCGTGTCTCCTCCAGCTCCCTCTGCAAGCCACACTTTGAGGTGATTTGCTCATTCTGAACCGCGATGATCTCTTCGTGTTCGGCCTTTGCCTGCTCTCGCTCTGGGCACAGTGCTTCCTTCTGGCTCAAGAGTGTTTCCTGCCTCTTCACGGTGGCTTCTTGCAGCTGAGAAACCCTGTTGAGGTCTTTGCGCAGCTGCTCTATCTCTTCAGCATTAGATGCCCGGGCTGCTGCTACGTCAATCATAATTTCCTGCCTCATTCTTTCTCTTATATTGTTAATTTGGTGTCTCAGATTGCTGTTTTCTATGCTTTCCACTTCTAAATGTTCATGAGCAGCATGCCGAGCCGCCTCCAGTTCGGTGATTGCAGTAGTTATCTCCGTCAGGTGGAGGCTGGCTTCAGCTGAGAATGGCACGTCGTCCTCTTTCAGCTGCTTGTCCAGCTCCTTTAAATGCTCGAGAGCAACCATGACGGCCGGGAAGTCCGGGACCAGGCAAGAAGCCATTTTTTAATCCGTGTGCCTTACACTCGTTAATGTGTCTGCAGTACGTTCAGTTATACTCTACCATGGCAACAACGAACCCACCACGAAGAAGAAAAAGAAGACAGCATGCTACGGCATGTCCGAGGGGCCACATTGTGTAAGCAGTGGCTACCCATAAGCTAATATCAGTCAGTAGGTGAGCGTTACGTGAAACTAATGTTGTACGTTACCGCAAGAAGCTAAAGTTAAGTTGAATAAACAGATAAGATAAGGACTTTATTGATCCCAATCTAATTGTTACAGTAGCTCAATAGTCAAAGAAGCTATGCAAATACGTACTGCGGTCAAGTCAGCAGACACTCGGATCTCCGTGGTCAACCCAGCAGACACTTACATTTAAGTGCGCCTATATGCTGAAATTCACGGTAAACGCATTCAAACGGCACAGATCGGGAGCGAGCGAAGGACTTTGCAAAGTTAGCGGAAAGATTAACGTGAGACAACATCCGGTTTTCAAAATAGAATGTCAACTAAGCGTATATACAAATTGCATTTGTGGAAATAAGATTAAATGAATAATATTAACATTAAGTATAAAACATGTTGCCTCCATCTCGTGAGTTAAAGGGAAAATGCAACTAAATCGTGTCTTTATTCTTTGATTTGAGGGTTGCTGGAAAGATAATGAAATTACTAATATCTGACTTACTGATATGTATGTGTTCAGGACATTTCTGACCACATCCAAACAAAAATCAAACATGTTAACTGTACCAATTAAGATATTTTATGAAGTACAAACTGAACTGAAATTGCACCTTCAAATAGCTAATTTCTGAAATAAAGGTGCTATGAAAATATTCTTGTCAATATTTCCATACAATATACTGATGTATATGTGTTCAGGATATCTTTGACTCCACACAGACTGAAATACTTGGTCTGGGCTCCTTTTGCATGAATTACTGCATCAATGCCGTGTGGCATGGAGGCGATGAGACTGGCCCTGCTGAGGTGTTATGGAATCCCAGGTTGCTTTGATAGGGGCCTTCAGCTCGTCTGCATTGTTTGGTCTGATGTCTCTCAACTTCCTCTTGACAATACCCCATAGATTCTCTCTGGGGTTTAGGTCATTCAAGAATTTGGGTGAGAATCACAAGGAGTGAACTGCGGCTGGAGTCAGTGCTTCAAGATCCACCACACACAGACGTATCCAGGACATGGGCTACAACTGTCGCATTCCTTGTGTCAAGCTACTCCTGAACCAGAGACGTAAGAAGTGTCTTACCTGGGCTAAGTTGCCTGAGCTAAGTTACCTGGGCTGAGGAGAAAAAGGACTGGACTGTTGCTCAGTGGTCCAAAGTCCTCTTTTCAGATGAAAGTCAATTTTGCATTTAATTTGGAAATCAAGGTCCAGAGTCTGGAGGCAGAGTGGAGAGGCACACAATCCAAGTTGCTTGAGGTCCAGTGTGAAGTTTCCACAGTCAGTGATGATTTGGGGAGCCATGTCATCTGCTGGTGTTGGTCCACTGTGTTTTATCAAGTCCAAAGTCAGCGCAGCCTTCTACCAGGAAATTTTAGAGCACTTCATGCTTCCCTCTGCTGACAAGCTTTATGGAGATGCTGATTTCATTTTCCAGCAGGACTTGGCACCTGCCCACACTGCCAAAAGTACCAATACCTGGTTTAATGACCACGGTATCACTGTGCTTGATTGGCCAGCAAACTCGCCTGACCTAAACGTCAGAGAGAATCTATGGGGTATTGTCAAGAGGAAGATGCATTATTGAGATCAGACCAAATAATGCAGACGAGCTGAAGGCCCCTATCAAAGCAACCTGGGCTTCCATAACACCTCAGCAGTGCCACAGTCTCATCGCCTCCGTGCCACAGTAATTCATGCAAAAGGAGCCCCGACCAAGTATTGAGTGCATACTGTATACTGTACATACTTTTCAGTAGGCCAACATTTCTGTATTAAAAAGCCTTTTTTAAATCGGTCTTATGTAATATTCTAATTTTATGAGATACGGAATTTTGTGTTTTTATTAGCTGTAAGCCATAATCATCAAAATGAAATCTCTTAATTACCACAGTAAAAATGTTTAATTTTCCGTATATGTGTAGTCAGAGATTTCCTCAACTTATATGCATTAGTCATTGTGTGGAATTATTGAGAAAAGTATTTCTATATCACCTCAAATATTCCGAAATGAGCTTTTTGAACGTTCAAATATAGGACTTTTACTCTGAAATATCTCTTAATATGTACAGTAAAAATGTCAAATTTTCAGTATGGGTGGAGTCAACGATGTCCTCAACACATACATATCAGTCATTGTCTGGACTTATTGAGAAAATACTTTTTATTACACTTCAAATATTCATTTATTAGATATTTTCTCGATTAAAATGTATGACATTTACTTTGAAATATCTCCTAATTAGGACAGTAAAAATGTCTAATTGTCATAATGGGTGGAGTCAACGATGTCATCAACATACATATCAGTCATTGTCTGGAATTATTGAGAAAAATATTTTTGTAGCACCTTAAATATTGTGATATTACCCATTTTTGTCCTGAACATATATGCATTAGTCATTGTGTGGAATTATTGAGAAACATTTTTATAGCACCATAAACATTTCAAAAATGTGCCATTTGAAGATACAAGTTCAGTTCAGAGTTTTTGCTTCGTAAAATATCTTAATTGACCGTCAGTCAGGTATTATTAACTTCCAGCAACCCTCAAATCAAAGAATAAAGACACTTTACGCACAATTTAGGTGTATTTTCCCTTTAACTCAGGAGATGCAGGTAGCATGTTTTATACTTCATGTGAATATAATTAATTTAATCTCATTTCATTATGCAATATGTATACTTTGTTGGCATCTTATTCTGAAAACCGGATGTTCGTCTGTAGAAAACCGGAAGTTGTCTCACGTTAATCTTTCCGCTAACTTTGCAAAGTCCTTGACTCGCTCCCGATCTGTGCCGTTTGGTTGCGTTTACCGTAAGTTTCAGCGTATAGGTGCACTAAAATGTAAGTGTCTGCTGAGTTGACCCAGTCCTCTCCGTAGAGTACTGGTCGATCTGCGTACTCTCCTGTGTCGAGCCACGGGACATCACACCGTCGATCTGCCTACGTTCCGGTGTCGAGCCACGGGACATCACACCGTCGATCTGTCTGCCCTCCGGTGTCGGACCACGGGCTACACACCTTCCTGACCTCCTACTCTGGCTAAATAAAAACTGTTATACCGGACTCTGTCTCCTGTGGTCTTGCTATTGGGTCCTACCCGTGAACTCCCGTGACAGCGTGTGCTGTGATTGGTCAGTGGGCGAGCACGTGACTATCGTGAAACGATCACGTGATGCAGCTCAGCCAATCAAATATGGGCATTCTGACAAGTTTCCTGACTCGAGTGAGATGTACACACACCGTGACACAGGGGGCTGAGACGAGGAAAGACATAGCAGAGCAGTACATTCCTTATGTTAGTTGTGAAAGTAAAATCATACAACGGTCTCCAAAAGAGAAGATTGAGTCGTGGCTTATCATTAAGGGGTGGTGGTGGATCCCTCAGCTAGACCAGTTGACAACCACAGTCCTACATGAGCACAGACAATATACATCCCACAGTTTAAGCTTCTGCATTTTCCAAATGCACTAGTATTATTCAAACGTATTGTTGGTTTGTAAGCTTTGTACCGAAAGGTTTAATACATAAATTGTTACAGCACTAGAAATGAATTATAGCTGTGGCGCCATTATGAGGGTATAAGGCAGTGGATACCTAGGCCTTCACTGTTCTCCTGCAGCTGAAATAGCACCACATGATGGTGCCATTTATTATTCATTTCTAAGGCTCTAACTTCTAACTTCTTCTAACTATGTACGTATTAAACTGTTCGGTACGAGGCCTACAATACGTTTGAATAGTACCAGAGCATTTGGAAAATGCAGAAGCTTATATTCAGGAAAATATGTTTTCTGCGCTCATGGAGGTTCTCAGTTGGTCTGGCTGTGGGACCCACCATCATTTCTTAATGACAAGTCAGACCAAAGAGATCGTCTGATGATTTTACTTTCACAACTTGAACATTGTACATACTGCTCTGCAATGGCTTTCCTCGTCTCAGCCCCGTGTCATGGTGTGTGGCACTGGAGTCAGAATGCCCATATTTGATTGGCTGAGCTGCATCACGTGATGTGATTCACTACCCGACAGCCTCTGCTGTCAAGTTTCGGTTCACGATAGTCACATGCTCGCCCACTGACCAATCACAGTGCACTCTGCACCTCGCAGCAGAGCTGCACCTGGACACTGAGCTGCACGTAATGCTGACGTCATTATAGGCCGGCTTGCAGGCTCTGATACGTCAAAGAATACGCCCAACATGTCAAACTAAAGATCTGATTGGTTGAAGAAGATGACAATCAACAATATCGTCCCCATTCACTTAAACTGTAAAGGGATGCACTTGAGAGACTGCAGGCCTGTGGCCTCTGTTCTTACCTAGAAACACAGAGTTGAAATCTGATTGGATAAAAGCTCTACTTAAAACAAGCTGCACTGGAAGCAGAGCAACTGAGAAAGACAAGTAGCTGTGCAATGAGAAAATAAGATAATGGGAAAAATATTTTTATAAATTATAATACATGTAGTGTATTTAAGAAAAAATATTAAATTATAAAATAGATATAGCTTTGTGATTCTGTTTAGGCCAGCAAAGAAGGCCTTGCAGGCCCTGACAGCCCACCACTGGTATAAGATGGTATTTCAGCTGCAGGACAGCAGTGAAGGCCCAGGTATAAAACGCACGGTCCGCCACTGACCTTAGACCAGTAAAGGTGTGTAAGCATCAGATTCTAATGAAAACATCATTAAACTGTGAAATCAACTGTCCTGAGCTACTTTTCTTAAGAAAATCTTTGAAACAGTTTCCAAGATTTTCTTCAAAAAAAGTGGATTTTGTGAAATAAACTGTTTCAAAGATTTTCTTCAAAAAAGTGGATTTTGTGAAAGTAACATAGTTTCAAAGATATTCTTCAAAACAGTGGCTCGGGACAGCTGATTTCACAGTTTCATGATGTTTTCATTAGAACCTGCTTTTTAAACATTCAAAAAGTGTACATTGTACACTGCCATTGTAGCAGTTGTGTACTCTCTCTCTCTTGGTTGCGTTGTGTTTATTCAGGCACACTTAATGTCTTTTCATGGCTCCAACCAGACGTTTATTTACAGCACAGCATATAGATAGCTGGTAACAAACAGAACAGCTTCAGTTACTCTCACAGCCCACGTTGTGATTACAAGCTCCGGAACACACGGAGACAGCTTGCTTCAGACTGGTTT